CGAAAACTATAACTCTAGATCCTGGTAAGACTACGAATGATGATGGTAACCCTGGTAATAGTAATAGTAGTACCGACACTAACACCAATACCACACACATTATTTGCACCATAGTATGATGCATATTCCGATTGACACCTGAAAAAAAGAGGGAAAACATCATAAGATGTGTAGGGCTATACGGCTATGGGGCTATTGGGCTATAGGGCTGTAGGGTTTATAGGGCTATAGGCCTATAGGCCTATTGGGCTATAGGGCTATAGGGCTTTGGGGCTGTGGGGCTTTTGGGCTATAGGGCAATTCGGCTATAGGGCTATAGAGTTGTAGGGCTACAGTGCTATACGGCTATAGGGCTATAAGGCTATAGGGCTATAGGACTGTAGGGCTATTGGGCTTTTGGGTTATAGGACTAGGCACCCCGGGCACTCGGGCACCCAGGCACCTGGGCCCCCGGGCACCTGGGCCGGCCACCGAAATCGACGGCCCACCTCACCTAACCATATGAATCCTCTAGGACCCCTACAGAGGCTAGCTCTGATTGGGGAATAATACTTATGATACCAGAGAAAAGCCCCAATCATATTTTTGTTAGGGCTATTGGGCTATAGGGCTATACGGTTATCGGGCTATTGGGCTATCGGGCTATAGGGCTATAGGACTGTGACCTATAGGGCCATAGAGCTATAGGGCTATGGGCTATAGAGCTATATGGGCTATGGGGCTATAGGGATATAGGGATATAAGGCGATTAGGGCTATATGAATATAAGGCTATAGGGCTACAGGGCTATACGGCTATAGGGCTATAGGGCTACTGGGCTATTGGGCTATTGGGCACCCCCGGGCCCTCGAAATTATCCAACCAGGCGCCCGCTGAGCTGCCCGAGGCACTGTGCACCGCCGCCGCTGCCGTCACTGGCAGCGCGGCCGTGAACGTCTTGGTGACGTGGTCCCGCACGTGCTGGGTGTACGTCTTCTGGTCCTTTCCCTTCCGCCCCTCCAGAAGGCCCTGCCAGCGGTCGCTCTGAGGGCGACGGCCGCCAGCCAGCCGCCCCTGCTCCTCGTCTGCTGCTGAGAGGGCACGGCCAAGGCCTGGCCACCTCCGAAAGAGGCCGATCGTTGTCGATTCTCGGAGCTCCTGGGCTGCCGCGTGAATCCCAGCTTCCCAGGATGCCAGGAGGACGGCTGGGCCGCGCTGCTCAGCGCTGCCACAGCCCAGGCCTCCGTCGCTGACCTTCATGAAGATCTGCTCTCTGGGGGCCGCCGTGACCCCGTTGACGAAGGCGATCACTCCGTCATCCACCCTGCGGCTCCACGCCGCCGTGAGCGGTAGCGCCCGCTGGATGTGGACGCAGGCGCCCCTCGACCAGATCCGCATCAACTGCAATGCGTCGAAGGCAGAGAGCCCATGTCTGCGTAGCGTCAGCAGCTCCTTGAAGTAGCGGTCCTGCTTCTGGAGGAAGGCTTCGCCGCAGGGGGGTGGCGTGGCGGCGCTCGGGGCGGCCCCGGCGCCGCCAGCCTGCCCGCGCCCTCCCTCCTCGAGGTCCTCTGGGACGGCGAAGTCCGTGAGTGGGGCGCCCCTCCAGTCGGTGTCCACGTCGTGGTTCGTGTAGGCCAGGGTGGACCCCACCGCCTTGAGCTTCTGGACGCGGTACTGGGCGTACCCTGCAAACTCGGGCGGCAGGACAGCTTGGGCGTCGGGGGACCATATCTGGGTCTTGGACATCTTGAGCTTCATCCCGTGGGCTTCGATGCGGGCGCGCCACGCGTCCAAGCCGCGGAACACGGCGGCCGCGGTGCCCACGAAGTACGCGTCGTCCAGGAAGGCCAAGCAGTCCCCTTCCATGTCCACCGCGCGCAGGGCCACGCGGCCGATGCTGAGGGTATCCGCGGTACCGACCGCGTAGAAGCCTGGGCTCATCGGGCAGCCCTGGTCGAGGCCACGGATCTGGTCGACCAGCTGGGCGGGTTGCGACCCGCCCCCCGCCGCGTGGCGTGTTCGGGCGGGGAGCCAGGCTTCCGCCAACGGGACCAGCGCAGGCACCTTGGTGCGCACGGCCTCCGCCACCAGGTCGCGGGGGATGTTGCTGAACGCATCCCCGAGGTCCACCGCCACCACCCACTTGCCTGGGCTCGAGTTGGCCATCGTGCATAGGCGTCGATGGAGTGCACCACATCCGTCCTTGGCGAGGCCGAACTGCTGGTCCCCCACCGCCGTCCGCATGTCCTTGTGGTGGACTTTGGCGGCACTGCGGCCCACCATGCGGCGGGTGACATTTCCACAGCCCAGGACTCGCCCACCCCCAGGAGTTGCCTTGGGGATGCCTGTGAGGCGCGCCGCCGTCATGGCGGCTAGCGCCTCGGGGGGGAGGTCCCCGATGGCCAGTCGAGCCAGCGCGTTGGCCACCGCCTCTGCTCCATCCTCGTCGCCCTTGAGAGGTACCCAGTGCTCGTAGCGTCCCCCTCCAGGCCCCGCCCCCCCACGGCGGGGGAAGCGGCCAAACTGGCGTCTAAGGTGGTTGGCCACACGGCGGTGTAATTCTGCTGCGCCGTCGAGCTCGTGGGGAGCTGCGGCCGGCGGCATCGCCACGTCGGCTCCCGCCCCTGCGGCCCCTCTCCCTGGCCCACGCGGGGCGGCCCCAGTGCCAGGGAGAGGGCACCACTCGCCTGGACGAGGCGCCTCGGGCCGCTGGGTGGTGCTGAACTTCCTCACCACCGCCGCTGCGTCCGCCATGTCCCCCTGGGGCCACACTGCCGCCGCCGCCCGAGACATCTCTCCCGCTCGTGCGAGCTCGGTGACACGGCGTACACGGGCTGCGACGTGATCCCCGCGGCCCTTCGTGGTGACCGCGGTGCGCGTCTGGTCCTCCATGGAGAGCCATGCGACATCCCACTGGCCGTCCTGGATCCACCGCAGGCGTTCCTGGAGGCGCTCACGCCGCGTCGTTGGGGACGGGGTCGCATTTTCGCTGATCAGTAGTCCGTCCAGCGAGAGGAACACCTTCCACAGCCTCGCCAACGTGCTCGACGACTGAGCGTCGTTGCTCTGGCGGGCTTGCTGAATTGCCAAGCACAGCCGCACCTTCACGTGGCTGACTGCTGCCGCCATGCTGTCGGGGATCATGGCTGTGGCGGGCGCCCCTTGGAGCAGGATGCGGCCCCACCCGAGGGCATCCCACCAGTCCAGGTTGACGAAGCCCACCTCGTGGTACGCGTCCTCGCTCGTCACCTGGTCGTCCAGGTAGTCGTCGTAGACGCCTGTCTCGAGTCCGCCCTCTTCGCCTGCTTCCGCAGGAACGTCGAGTGGCGGTTGTAGAATGTCCGCCGTGGTCGGCACCGCTGCCTCGGCCGCCCCCAGGGGAGTCCCCCGCGCGCCTGGGCCGTATGCTCCTGGCGCGGCGGCGGCAGGGGGCCTCGGGGCTGCCCCAGCGCCCCCTGCCGCGCCATCTCCCTGGGTGGGAGGGGCTGGGGCCTGGCCTTCGACTGCCTCCATCAGGGGCAGGATGGCCCCCCCCCGGGCTTCCAGGGCTGCCGCGAGGCGATCCCTGTCGCCCTCAGGGAGCTGAGTAAAGCCCACCATCGCCGTAGCTGGTGGCAGTGGGCCATCGACGCAGGCCATGTGGAACCACTTCCTGCCCGCGTGCGCCTGGGACCCCGCGGGTGGTGTCACGACGCCCGCCACGCGCCACTCGCCCGCCTCGAAGCCTCCCATGCAGCGCGTGCAGTGAGCCTTCTTGCCACGGGCCGTCTGGGCGCTGACGCACCAACGGGTGATGCGTCCGCCCGTCATGCGGCGCCGCCTCTGTGCTGGCTGGCCCTGGCTGTCACGCATGTGGACGCCGATGTTGCCATCCACGGGGATGTCGGCTGCGTTCGCGCCTGCCGACGCGGGAGCGGCAGCGGAGGCGCACGGGGCGGCCCCAGCACCTCCGCTGCCTCCCGCAGCTGTCAGCACTCCGCCTTCGCCTCGAGCCGCAGCGGCGTTACTCCCAGCCACTCGAGCCCCTGCACCTGCGTCCGCAGCGCCGCCAGCGGCCGCCGCCATCCCAGGACGTCCCTCCAGGGCAAGGAAGAGTGTTCGTAACAGTGAGGGCGCGAGAAAAGGAAGGGTGGCTGTCACCCGCGGTTTGAGGGCAGTAGTAGCCCCCCCGCCCAGCTCCCCCCGCCCACTGGCTCCCCAGAGCCTTGGGGGGACTACTACTACTACTACTACTACTACTACTACTACTACTACTACTACTACTACTACTACTACTACTACTACTACTACTACTACTACTACTACTACTACTACTACTACTACTACTACTACTACTACTACTACTACTACTACTACTACTACTACTACTACTACTACTACTACTACTACTACTACTACTACTACTACTACTACTACTACTACTACGACTACTACTACTACTACTACTACTACTACTACTACTACTACTACTACTACTACTACTACTACTACTACTACTACTACTACTACTACTACTACTACTACTACTACTACTACTACTACTACTACTACTACTACTACTACTACTACTACTACTACTACTACTACTACTATTACTACTATAATAATAGAACTCGTACTAACATCAATTATAGTATTGTTAGCACTGGTAACAATATTAGCATCACTAGTAAAAGTATTAATGATAGTAATAAGAAGCAGAAGAAGAGGAGGAAGAGCAGGAGCAGGAGCAGGAGCAGGAGCAGGAGCGAGGAGAAACGAGGAGGAGCGAGGAGGAGCGAGGAGGAGCAGGAGGAGCAGGAGGAGGAGGAGGAGGAGCAGGAGGAGGAGGAGGAAGAAGAGGAGGTGGAAGAGGAGGACGAGGACGAGGACGGGGAGGAGGAGGAGAACGATAAGGTAGGATGAGGGAGGAGGAAGCTGGAGAAGGGCGTCAACGACGACAACGACGATGGGTTGAGGAGCATTAATTGGAGGAGGGAGGCAGGAGGAGTAGGGGCAGGAGGGAACTGGGGCAAGTCCAGGTGCAAAGTGTTGGTGGTGTTGGTGGTGCTGCTTCGCCACTTACCTCGTCCAGACAGTCTGCCGGAACGGCCTCCACCGAGAAGGTGGATCCGGCCGATGGCAGCAGTCCAGGATCGGCGGGTAGGAGGTCGGCCTTGAGAGGCACCAGCATTCAGCGGGCCTCGAGCACCGTCAGCTTCGCGACGGACATGCCCGAGATCCACGAAGTGCCGTCGTACAGGACCTACCGCGACCAGCTGCCCGACTACGCCCACGAGGACGACGACGGCTGCCTGTGCGAGGACGACTGCGACTGCGGTCGGGGCTGCAGGTGTGTTGTTCAGTGACAGAGCTGGCTTTTCCTTTGAGCTCTGCCAGGGCCGACCGTGCCCGGGGCGGGCGGCCCCATTGGCCAGGGCGGGCGGCCCCACCGAGTGCAGCCGCAGTTTTTGGGCTGGCACCCATACTATATACCGAAGCCTGCTTGTGTTCCTGTTTGCCTTTGCCTTTCTCGCAGTCTCTCCCCCTCGTCCTCATGATAATTCCTCCTCCTCCGTTCTCCTCCTCCTCCTCTTCCTCATCCCTTCGTCATCCTCCTCATTCTTCCCCCTCTTCATCACACCACCATCCTCGCCGCGACCGGCAGAGCATCAAAATACGTATATGGCTGACGAGTGGTTAGATGTTGCACGGTTATCTATACATATATTGTAGTGGCCTTCGGCCAGTGCCGCCGATCCGGGTCGCTCGGGGTTATTCTCCAGACGCAGAAATTATGGGCGCACACTCAAACGCACACACACAGTCACACCACTTAACCTGCGCCGCAGACATGCGCACACAGCATCACCCACACACACATACTAGTTGGGAAACGCTCCTGTAGTACTAGTAGTAGTATTAGTAGTAGTAGTAGTAGTAGTAGTAGCAGTAGTAGTAGTAGTAGTAGTAGTAGTAGTAGTAGTAGTGGTAGTAGTAGTAGTAGTAGTGGTTGTGGTAGTAGTGGTAGTAGTAGTAGAGGCCTCGTTCCGCGGTTTCTCTCGACTTCCCGCGGTCTCTCTCAAGTTTCGAGCACGCGGTGAGTTTCACGATATATGTGTGTGTATGTACGCGTGCATGCATGTATGCATGCATTGATCATGTGTGCCTGTGTGTAGGTACGTATGTATGTATGTATGCTTGTGCGCGTATGTATGTATTTAGTTTGTATGTATGTTTGTATGTGTGTATGATAATATGTGTGTATGTGTGTGAATGTAAGTATGTATGTCTGGAAGATTGTTTTTCTATGTATGCAAATGTGTTTAAATGTAGGTATGTATGCATGTGTGTATGGATGTGCGTTTGAAGAGCGAGGATGTTTCAAAGAAGAGGCACTCGGTGACGCGATCGTTGAGGGATAGGAGTGAGGTCGCAGAGGAGGAGGAGGAGAATGAGGAAGAGGCGATAACTTGAAGGAAAACGATGAGACGGAGGACATCCTGCCGGTGGCGCCCTGGGCGGTGCCGCGGAAGAAACCGGGGGCCTGCCGGAGGCAGTCTGGAGGCCTCTGGGGAGCTGTTTTGGGGCCTCTTGGAACCTCTTTTGGGCCTCTTGTGGGCTTCTTGGGGCCCCTTGGGGGTCTCTTGGGGCCTCCTGGGGGCCTCTTGGGGCGGAAAGCTCGGTTCTTTCGGTTCGTGGTCCCCCTCTTGGGCCCCTCTTGGGGCTCTCTTGGGGCCTTCTTGGGCTGTCCAGAGGCCCTCTTGGGCCGTCTTGGGGCCCTCTTGGGCCGTCTTGGGGCTCTCTTGGGCCGTGTTGGAAGCATCGTGGGCCGTCTTGGGACGGACTTGGGGGCCTCTTGGGCCGTCTTCGAGCGTCGGACGCCCGAAAAGGCAAGAACGCTAAAAACCCTGAGAAAACCAATGAAAATCAACGATTCTGGCCTCTTGGGGCCCTCTTGGGAGGCCTCTTGGAAGCTTCTTGGGGCGTCTTGGAGACACCTTGGGCCGTCTGGAGGCCATCTCGGGCGTCTTGGAGCGATTTTTCGGCGACTCGGGGCCCTCTTGGAACCCCTTGGGGGTCTCTTGGGCCCCCCCCCTCCTCCAAAGCGCCGGAAAAAGCGGAGCATGGCGCCCCCCCCCCCCCTATCTTCCACTCCCCCGGAGCGGCCCCGGGGTTCGCCGGAAACTCGCACCCCCCCCCCCCCCCCCCACCCCCCCTTCCCCGGCAGAGCCACCCCGGCGACCCCCCCAGAGGCTGAAGCTCAGCCTCGAGGCTGTAGCTGAGACTCCTTGAAACTCACACGCCGGATCGGCGGATATGTATACAAATAGATGATCATGTATACAGACATGCATACATACCTACATACATACATACATACATACATACATACGTACATACGTACATACGTACATACGTACATACGTACACACGTACACACGTACATACGTACATACATACATACATATATATACATACATACATACATACATACATACATACATACATACATACATACATACATACATACATGCATAC